ATGGAATCTAATAAAATACTTAATTGAGAAATATAGATCTTGTGACGTATATTTCAATCAGTAACGTTTTGGTTCAAACATGTTGGTCTAATGCGACCACTGCCAAATTTGGAACTTGCGAAATTTTTGCCAATTTTTTTCCACGCCAAAAATTGGAAATATTTGAATTCGCACTAGTGCGACCCGGCCCTAAGTGAAATATTCCAAAATTTTCACAGTACATCGCATCTGGGAGGACACGAATTTTGAACACAACAGAAGGGTTTGTACAGTCATTTTTTTTCGATTTTTACGAATTTATATCTTTTACCGCTGCGGGAAACTGGTCCGATAGATTTCCCTGAAAAACAACCTCCGACTAAAATACCAGTTAGTTACTACCAGTCTGCCAAATTTTACGAAATTTCACCGATAGAAACGCGATGCGTATTTTGGAGGACGCGAACGACGGCGGCTAATTTTTCGTATTTTTTATTTGGAACTGAACGCTGGCGTTACATAATTAACCTGAGCAAGTTTTAAGACCGATAGCCGCACTGAACAGATCTAGAAAATTGCGAAATTCGAAGATAAAATATAAATTCATTTTTTACCAGGCGTTGTCCTCGGGTTCGACGTCGTCATTGCTTTAGCTCCCTAAGAAACAACGGCCGAACGAACAACGCCCTTTACCTCTGCGAAACCAAGGAAACGTATATGAGGAGAATACACTTTTTCTCCGTTATGGATTTCACAGCAATATTTCCGTCGGCCTTTTAGAAGAAAAATCTTGTTTTCCTGGCACTGATTTAGTCACGTTACCTCAAGCATCTAATATAGTTTCCTGACTGCGTGAGTTTACGATAATATCAGTATCAGCAACTATAAACACAACGTAACAGGTATTTATCGATTATCTCAGAGACTTAAACGCTTCTACAACGTAGATTTCAGTACTGAAGGACATCAGCGCGAATATGAGAGAGAAAGGAAAGGTTGGATGAACCAGTTCGAAATGGAAATCTTCTTTGGTGCATGCTATGTTTTGCTACTTTTTCAGCGCGGTTACAAGGCTTTTTTCTAAAGCTTAAAAATGCTAAATGATGGTAATAAATTAATTGAACTGGGCTGTTGGAACAGCATGTAAGAACTTGAAGGGGTACTTGATTTGTCATCCTACAGTCAGTCTCTACTGAATATTCATATCTTTAGTCATAAACAATCCCATCAGCGGTTGATTAATGAAAAGATTGGTTGAATACCTCCCCTTGGTAAAAGCCATCTATTAACCCTGAGTGACTTTTCTCTTTAGTTGAACGCGACGATATCAGACTGGAAATAATGAAAGGAAAACTGGGTACTGAAACGATGGATAGAAACTCCAAATGCAATGCGTCCGTTCCACCGCAATATTTGACAGGAATCTTTCTCACGCTTTCTGTAACTGGAATACTAACAGCAGCCGTGGGAAACACACTCATTTGCGTAGCTGTATATAAGAAGGGGGCTCTAAGAACGTCTGCTAACTATCTTCTTGTCAGCCTGTCTTTGGCAAGCCTTATGTATGTCCCAGTATTAATAAGCTATGCCATCTCTCTGACGATGAGCGAGTGTCAACCAATGACAAAGATACTGTGCAAGTGGTCTTCACACTTGGATCTTGTTTTGTTTTGCGTTGTCATACTTCATCTACTTCTCATATCTTTGGATCGACTTGTGACCATAAAAATGCCTATGAGGTACGTTATGAAACCCGTCTTACAAGTGCCTACACACCCTGAGGGTTACTCCCATATATAGTCTATACACGCTATGTGGGTATGTGCCGCTGTGAAGGATATGGTTTTCAGACAGTTTAGTCTGGGACAGGGTATAGAAATCAGACAGGTTTGGTCTAGAATAGGGTATAATTTGCCGGGAAAGTTACCGGTGCAGTAAATAATTTAACCCGGAACAGGGTTCTTTACCCGGGGTTCTACAATAAAAATCGAAACTTGGGAGTGACTTGAAAAGATATTGGTTTAGTTTGCGCATGTTAGACTACGAAAGTGATAAAGTTTCTACATGGAAAATAGCTAGTCTGGGACATGGTAGGGGTTTTGGTGTGTAGTCTAGAATAGGGTTGGAAACTCAAGCTGATTGTTTGATTATTAATATAACACAAACAGCGGTGATAAACATTTTAATAACATGCATTTTATGAACTAGACGTTTCGTATGCTAGTCAACATACATTTTCAAAAGTATAACAGTTAAAAATTTTGAAAAGATATTTGTACTGTATTTAAATTTCTACTGCAGATGTTTTCTGTCTGGGTTCCAGACCCCCATTGATACAGTATAAATATGTTGACTAGCATACGAAACGCCAAGTTCATAAAATACACGTTTTTAAAATGTTTATCACTGCTGTTCGTGTTACATTTTTAATCAAGCTACGATGGCCGAAGACCAAGAGTTTATATGAAGCTGATTGTTGCCTGGTATAGGGTTAGGGTTAGGGTTATTGTCCCAGCGGCACTCCCCCACCCAAAGATTTACAGAGTACCCCCCGAGGGGGGTGGCAGGTTTTACGGCCGAGAGATTTTTTTGAGTTCCACGTAAAGATTTGGGAGGGGCTACTGTTTACGTTACGTACCCCTGGTTCTTATGTGCAAAGAAAATCTGTAATTCAGTTACCAATACCTTAAGTTTAGATCTTCCATTGTGGATCAATTTTGCGTCTAAGGTTAGTGGAAACTTTCCCATTAACGTTGTACATTGACTGATTAAAAAATTTTTCCCATGTTTTCTTTTTCCATTCTTCAACAGATACCCAACCATGATAACAACAACGCGCACACTGATATCAATAGGTGCTCTGTGGTTTGTGGGAATATTAGAAGGAGTTACGCCAGACTTGATTCAGGGAATTCAACACAACCAGGGCAAAGCACTACTCATGATGATGCATGGTTGCATTCAAAATAACAAAATCCTACTAGAAAAACACTCACAAGAGGTCGTGCCTCACTTTCTTGTTTTCATGACACTGACGGTCTTCTTGCCCAGCGGAATTATGCTTATTTCGCATGCGTGGATTTTCATTATCTCCTTCAGACATTACAAACGAATCAGAACTCTGGAGGAGGCCGTGCTACAAAGACGTGTCACTGAAATGCGCGCCGCCAAGACGGCGGCTATCACGGTGTTTTCGGCGTTAGCGTGCTTCGCGCCTCTTATTGTGGTGACTTCCATGATGATACTTGAGCCGCCAAGCGATAGAAGGCTAGACTCCACTCAATTTAACATCAAGTATATACTATTTCCTAGCCTTAAAATTCTGTATTTATTGGCGATAAGCTTAAACCCTTTGATCTGCGCTTTAAAAAGCAAGCCTTTCAAGGCGGCATTCAAGGAGATGTTACAAGCTTTAAAAAGATGTCCATGTAAAGTCCCGGACATACGCAGAACCAAGGCGCGCAGCATTTTCAGACGACGAGGCCACACGCTGAAACTGGAGCCCAACAAGCCTGCCAAAAACAGTAACACCTCCTACTTTATAGAACTGCAGTGCCTATCATTGACTACTAACCCAAGCGAGCTTAGCAACACTACTCAAAATAAAGTATACACGTAGATGAAGCAATATGTTAGACCAAGTGGCACTGGATGTAACTTGCAAGAACGCCGAGACATTTAACGAGTCTTGTTTTAGTTTTAGGAGCACGAGAGGCCGGTAACATAAAAATGCCTAGCAAAACTATTAAATAGCGACATCACGACCTTAGGGTGCGTCCGTTGGGGTGATCTGGATCTGGATCTGGATCAGTGATCCAAGATCATGGTGCTGGGATCATGGTGCATCAAAGCAACCAAAGAATTCTTGCTCAGAGTGGATTCTTCGGTTCTTTTGATGCACCATGATCCGAGTGATCTTGGATTAATCTATTTAGTAAAGAAATGCAAATCCTTTTTGAGTTTCAGAATTCAATCGTGGAGTTTCCCAAAGAAACGCACCCTAAAATGTATATTAACACTATTAAGAAGTTATTATCCAAAGCTTTTCTTGCCCGAAAACCAGTCTCTAGATGGATGGATAGATAGAGACCTTATTTAAGAGTCGATGCCGCCTAGCTTGGGAGAATCTTCCATACTAATATGGGGGCACAAAAAAAATAGTAAGTAATTAAAATGATCTAAGAGTTTAAAGTTAATGCTACGTACAATTATATGCATGTCTAGATCCTAAAAAAAAATTAAACCAACATAATGCAAATTCTTTTTCCGATTCAATAAATAACACGGTTATCGAATTATTTGCACAAATGTGTAAATCATTATTCCAAAAGCTTGATAAAATAGTCTAAAATTAGCAGAGGCTGCAGCCTTTGCATCCATCATCTATAAGTTGACGAACATTTAATTTTATGTTCTGTTTGAACGATCTTAAAGATGTGGCTGCTCTACTACTTTGGGGGAGTTTTCCCCATAACTTGGGTCCTAAGTACTTTAGAAAGCGTTTACCATAAGTTATCGTCTGATACCTACAAATGGAAAAGTCACGCTGCCTTAAATTGTAGTTAGAGTTATGTTCACTGAAGATATTGCTGATGTAAGCAGGACACAGTTTGTGTTTTACTTTACACATGAGAATACTTAAATCCCGTTGACACCGGTTTAATAATGTTGGCAGTTCTGCCTTCTTTAGTAGTTGTTCGTAACTAGCATTCTTGTCTCTAAATACCGCCCTTAGTCCCCTCTCCTGTAGTCTTTCAAGTTTTCTTAAGTCACCAGATTTGGGGAAAGTGCCAGATTAAGTGGCAGTAAGTAAGATATGGCAGGACTGCACATTTGAAAAGTACTGCTTTAACTGCTTTGTGATTCAACTTGTACATAGTGTGATTAATAAACGCTAAGACTTGAATTGTATGTCTCATAATTAAAAAAACACAGCAAGATTTACCAGTTCACTGCAAACATGTAAGGGTGAGTTTC